GGCTGCGGCTTCGGCGCGGTGTCGGCGCTGCGCGGGGCAGGGACGCTACTCGACGCGACGCGGCGCCTCACGTTCTACACCGCTGGCACGGCGGCGTATGACATGCGTGTGTGCCCGCGCTTCCCGCTGCTGCTGCACAGCACGCTGCAGGCCTTCATGCTGCTGCTCTGCCAGGTGGCGTGGGCGGTGATGACGGGGCAGGCGGTGGCCGCGCTACGGCAGTTGCAGCATTCACAGAACACATGGTGGGGCCGATTGTTGCACTACTGTCGTTGCTGCTTTAGCCGCACATCGCGGGTGGGCAACGACACGGGGGAGCGAGAGCCGGGTCCTCTGCCAAGCACCACGGGTCTTGGACTGCATCAACAGCAACAGCAACACGGGCAGGATGATGAGGAGGGGCCGTCGGAGGTTGCGAGTCCCCTCGGCAGAGAGGGGGAGGAGAATGTGCCACTTATACGTGCGCGTGAGCTGGAGGAGGCATCTGAGATGAAGAGATGTACGCGTGCAAGAACAAGAACCGAATCCGACAGTAGTGGCACGCAGCAGCAGCAGCAGCAGCAGCTCCCAAAGGCAACGGTTCTTGACACTTCGCCGTGGGTGGCTGTGGTGCTGCTGTTTGCAGCGGTGGCGCTACACTTAGTCTTCGCGCTCGTGTCCCTCCTCAACGCCGACGCCTATGACGACGAGACACACAGCGAGGTGCAGCTCCGCGGCTGTGTCGTGACGCTGCCATTTCAAGCTACCATCACGGCGGTTTCAGTTCTTGTGATGGCTGCCGTGCTGTACTGCGAACTAGCAGCGAACAGCGCTTAAGGAAAGTTGCAATATGTGTGAGCGTCTTCTTCTGTGTGTGTGTGTGTGTGTGTGTGGGGGTTGTAGAAGCGCTTTATAAGAGGGTGCGCGAGTCTGTGCCGTGGATGTAGAAACCCGGAGTGTATGTTTGTTTGCTCTTTGCGCTGCCTGCTATTCCCATCTGCCGTCCATCCCCCTGCTGCCCTTCTCTGTNCCGCCACTCTTTCCCCGACGGCGGTGTCACCCTCGCGCAGGTTGAAGTGACGCGCTGCGTGTGCGACCTCTAACACCCACCACCGCGACCGTCCGCCCGTCGGTGATGCCGATCACGATCGAGGCGGTCGATGTGCCGACGGCGGCGTGCGACGGCTGCGCGGCGGCACGTGGAAATGCGCTTGCGCGTGCGTACACGTCGACGTCGTGTCTCGCCCCGCGCGAGGAGGCGCTGCAGAAACTCGCGCGCGCCAGCAGCAGCACCGATGTGCCGGCAGCGGCGCGATCAGCACATGCAGCCGCGGCGAAGGTGTACGTGCCGCGTCTGTCCGTCAGCAGCGGCAACAACAACAACAATAGCAGCAGCGGCAACGGCAAAAACGTCGTGTGCGCCAGAAATGGCGTGTGTGTGTTCCTGCCGATTTGGGGCCGCAAGGAGACGCTCGATTGCGCTGAGCGGCAGCTGCAGGTGCTGCCGTGCTTGCACCACCCGCTTGCCAGGCCGCGGCACGGCGGTGGCAACAAGGTGGCGTGCCAGGCGCGGATGCTGCAGCTCTCCCGCAACGGCCTCACTTCCCTCGAGGCACCAGCGGATTTGTCGACGGCGGTGCAGCCCATCTCACTCGCCAACTTCACGCGGGTGGTGATGCTCGATGTGAGCCGCAACGAAATCACCAGCCTCGCCGGTGTGGAGACGCTGCCGTCGCTGCGCGTGCTGAACGCCTCGCGCAACAAACTGGAGGACCTCGCGCCGCTCTTCCGCGCGGCTTCCGTCCTGCAGCGCAGCGGCGCGCTGCAGGTGCTTGACGTGAGCTTCAACCACATCCGCACGCTTCTCCCCACTTCCGCGGCTGCTGCGGAGGCCCCGCCGCTGCGGTTGCGTACGCTCATTCTCTCGTGCAACCACCTTGAGCACCTCGACAACATTGGTGTGTTGTTCCCAGAAGTGGTGGAACTGCGCGTGGCGCGGAATCAAGTGTCGACGGCGCCGCAGTTGCTGCCGCGTCGCCTCGGCTGCCTCTCACTGTCGCAAAATTACCTTGACGAGGCCGCCCAACGCGGTCTGGAGGAGTTGGCGCAGCGCATGAGGTGTCTTAAGGATCTTGACGTCAGCGATCAGCGAACACAGTATAGGGAGGATGACTCTGTGAAGAATGCAGGCGCCGGATGCCTGGACAATGAAGGCGGGCGCACCAGTAATGACAGGGATGCCAGTAGGAAGCATAATGATGATGATAATGATGATTGTTGTGCTCTTGTAGATGGCGTTATCAATAGACGCGCTGTCACGTGGGACACAGCTAGGGTGGTGAGACGCGCTGAACGCAAGTTGCAGCAGAAACTCATCGTTCGACCTGCCGCGCAGAATGCTGTGCATAACATAGCAGTAGTGGCAGCACTATGGTGGAACAGCGGTGTGTGGCGAGAGAACGCCCCTCCGCAGGTGATGGCTATGCTCTTGCGTCTCGTTGGGGCTGCATCTCTGCGTCCGTGCATGCGCGTTGCGGAGCCGCTGATTATCCCACCGCTCAACGAAGCAGACGCCGCCGGGGCGTTTGCGTTCGTGCGCGAGGTCCTCCGCGCCGGAGATTTCCGCTGCGAGGAGGTGGTGCCGCGGATGCGGCTTACATTGGGCGACGCAAACCGGGTGTCTGCTGAGCGTCGCTGCAAGGCTGTGGCGGCCTCGAGCTTTCTACAGGAGGAGGGGTTGCCGTTTCGCTTGTTGCTCCTGCTACAGGCGAAGGAGCGGCGTGCAAGGGAGGTCATCATGGAACAGGAGGAGAAAATCGTAGTGCAACAGCCGCAGCGAGAGGCACCACGGCAAGAGAGTGCGGATGGGTCGTGGGCTCGTGTGGCGTTCCCCCCGCCCGCGGTGAAGTGGAAGCCATACCGCCGCGGCGCATACGGCTGGGACTCGCTCGTTGCGGAGCTGACGGCGCCGCTGCGGTGGTGCGACGCGCATCAGTGGCACAGTGCCCGACGCTGCTGCGCGCTGCGGCACACGTCGCAGGAGCGCATCGATCGGCGCCG